ATGTTCTATGAGAATTTCAACGCACTTATTCATAATAATAATAATTTGTCAAACGCGGAAAAAGTTCAGTACTTGATCGGCAAATTATCGGGCAAAGCCCTAACGGTTTGCGCTGGTATACCGCCCGTTGCTGACAATTATGGAATAAAATGGGACTCACTAAAGGAGAGGTACCAAGATGTTAGGACATTAGCTTCGATGTACGTAGAGCAAATGCTAAACTTTAAGGGCAGTTCAATTACTACTTTAAATTCGTTGGATTCATTTGTCGAACAATTTGCGTCTGCGCGGGCAGCGCTTAAACAGCTTAATATTAAAGATTTAGGTGATTTCATCATAACCCAATTAGCATTGTTGAGATTAGACAAAGAAACGGTAAGCCTTTTTGAGCAAAAACAGAAAACTAAAGATATACCTTCCTTTGATTCCTTACTGGCGTTCGTAAAGGAAAGGAGTAGAATTTTTATGTTACACAACCTTAGTTCTAGTAGTGTGAGAAATAAAACGCCCCACAATTATCAGAAATCTACCGCTCCGCCAAACAAAACAAATGGGCATTCCGCTCAGACGATGGTCGTGTGCGACAATTATAGTAACTCACCAAAATGCTTGTTTTGTAAAGGTGAACCGGGTCACCAATTATACAGATGTGATCCCTTTTCTAATTTAGAACCCGCAGCTCGAAATTACTTTGTTCAAAGTCAGAAACTGTGTATTAACTGTTTGGGGTTTCATTCTGTTAAGTCGTGTAGATCTTTTAACCGCTTTAACATTTGCAACCGCATGCATCATACAAAGTTACACTTAGATTCGCCCATTGTCGAACCCGCGAATGCATCGCGGGCATCACAAGCGCCCCCTAACCTGACTTCCCCGCCGCCGCTGCCCGCGTCTCCGCACTTCACCGCGTCCTCGTCTACAGTCGTACACAATGTCAACTCCGCCGCAGAAAGAGTACTGACAGCAGACCGCAATCCGCAGGCCGGCTCGAGCCGGGTTGGTACCACGACCTCACAGAATACCGGCGTGAAGCAGAGGCTCTGCTTCTGCGTTTCGCCTGGTAAGTGCAGGTGGCCGGAGGCCCAATTCCCCCCCCCCCCCCATCAACATGGTAGCGGAAATCCGCTCAAAAATATAACTGCTCGGGGCAAACTGAGCAACAATACCAAGGCGACCCCTGCCACGCTATCCGTGAATTTCTGCAACATCAGGGGACTTCACTCTAACCTAATCGCCGTCCACTACCATCTCGAGACGGCGAAGCCGGCCTTGCTCTTTCTGACCGAGACGCAGGTTTCCTCTCCAGCTAATATTTCGTATCTCTCCTACCCGGGGTACAAATTGGAGCACTCCTTTGTGCCTCGGGCTGGAGTTTGCGTGTATGTCAGAGAGGACATCTGTTCTCGACGCCTCGGCAGTCTTGAAGGTACGGACCTTTCCATCATTTGACTACGCTTAGACATCGACGACCATCCGCGCGTCTACGGGTGCCTCTATAGGTCCCTTCGCGGTTGCGTTCTGCAGGTTACCGCCGTGTTTGGCATTACAGGTCGGCGGATTGGGACGGAATGCGGTCTTTCTTTGCATCCTACCCATGGGGGCCGGTTTGCTTCTTGCCGGATGATCCCAGCGCTGTTGCTGACTCTGTTACTGATGTGGTGCTACAGGGAATGGAACTATTTATTCCATCATCTGTGGTACCCATCGGAGGCAAATCTCAGCCTTGGTTTGGTCGCTCCTGTAAGACTGCATTACGCAGTAAGCAGGAGTGTTATCAAGCCTGGGCTGCGGCTTCGGCAACTCGGGATGTAAACACCAGCACACTTAAAAAGAAGTATAACTTCGCCTCCAGGTCCTTCAAAAGAGTTATTGCCAGGGCAAAGTCAGAGCACATAGGCAGAATTGGCGAGAAACTAATTCGCCTTCCTTCGGGAACCCGTGCATTCTGGTCTCTCGCCAAGGCTGTCCAAGGGAATTTCTGTAAGCCATCACTACCATCCCTGTACAGGCAGGACAACTCACTGGCCCAAGACGCAAAAGACAAAGCTTACCTTTTAGGCTCCCTTTTTGCGTCCAACTCGATTCTTGATGACGGGGGGAAAACACCGCCGACCATCCCGCGGTGTGAGTGCTCCATGCCGGATGTGCTGTTCTCACAGCGCTCGGTTCGCAAAGCACTTCTCTCCCTGGACATGCAGAAGTCGAGTGGGCCTGACGGAATCCCCCCAATTGTGCTGAGGACGTGTGTTCCGGAGTTGTCACCGGTCCTAACGCGTCTTTTCCGGTACTCCTACTCCCAAGGCGTAGTCTCGAATTCATGGAAGACAGGTTTTGTCCACCCGATCCCTAAAAAAGGCGACCGCTCAGACCCGTCCAACTATAGGCCTATCGCGATCATCTCCTTGTTTTCCAAAATAATGGAATCCATTATTAACTGCCAGCTCATCCGGTACCTTGAGGATCACCAGCTGATTAGTGACCGCCAATACGGTTTTCGTCGGGGTCGATCAGCTGGTGATCTTCTGGTCTACCTGACCCATAGATGGGCGGAGGCAGTAGAGTCCAAGGGGGAGGCGTTGGCCGTTAGTCTGGACATTGCGAAGGCCTTCGATCGGGTTTGGCACAAAGCGCTTCTTTCGAAGCTCGCTTCCTATGGGCTTCCCGAGAAAATGTGCAATTGGATCACCAGCTTTCTTGCAGATCGGAGCATCAAGGTCGTTGTAGACGGTGCATGTTCTGACTACAAGCCTATTAACGCTGGTGTTCCACAAGGCTGTGTGCTATCACCAACGCTGTTTCTTCTGCATATCAATGATATGTTGCTAACTGATAACATTCATTGCTATGCGGATGACGGCACTGGTGACGCTCTATACATCGGCCGTGCCAATATTTCTCGGGAAAACGTCGCCGAGTACCGGAACAAACTTGTGTCTGAATTCGAGTCTTTACTGAACAAAGTCTCAGATTGGGGGCCACTAAATCTAGTCTAGTTTAATCCTCAGAAGACATAAGTTTGCGCGTTTACCGCTAAAAAGAACCCTTTTGTCGTATCTCCTCAGTTTCAAGGCACTCCCCTTCTTGCCTTAGCCAGTATCGATATCCTCGGAGTCGACATATCGAGTGACATGCAGTTTCGTGTTCACTTGGAAGAGAAGGCCAAATTGGCCTCTAAAAGCTTGGCGTGCTCAGCAGAGCGGGACAGTATTTCATACCGGCACACCGCCTGCAACTTTACAAGGCACAGGTTCGGCCTCACATGGAATACTGTTTCCATTTCTGGGCAGGGGCTCCCCAGTGCCAGCTCCTTCCACTTGGCCGCATCCAACGCAGAGCGGCTCGAATCGTCGACGAACGAGCCCTTTCCGATCGCCTCGATTCATTGGCACTGCGAAGAGATGTTGCATTCCTTTGCATTTTTATTGCGTCTACCATGGGGAGTGCTCTGAGGAATTGTTCGGATTAATCCCAGCCGCCAAATTTCACGAACACACATCGCGGCAGAACTCCCGATACCATCCACACCATCTGGATGATTGGCGGTCCACCACTGTGCGATTTAGAAGATGATTTCTTCCTCGCGCGACTTCCTTGTGGAATCGATTACCATCAGCGATTTTTCCGGACCAATACGACTTAGGGACTGCGATTCCCCTTGTTTTGCAGTTGTTAGTGGGCGGCGGTAGTCACTTACAATCAGGTGAGCCGCATGCTCGTTTGCCCCCGCTTCTTTAAAAAAAATGCTTCTCTGCTCTAAATCTAGAGTCGCTCCCATGAAATAATTCATGCTCGCGAGACTTGAGCTTTGTGCAGCGCTGTTGTTGTCTAATCTAATCGTCGCGGTTAGAGATTCCATTCAGGAACGTGTTCAAATAAGTAAAATTATTGCATTCTCTGACTCTAGATGGATAAGCGCACCAATTTTCAGATTTCAAACTTTTGTCGCAAATCGTATTTCAATAATCAATGAAAATTTAACTGCGGAGCACTGGTTTCATGTTCCTGGCAATGAAAATCCCGCAGACATCGTCTCTAGGCCAGTGGCGCCTGCAAAACTCATAGGGAACAAGCTCTGGTTTCATGAACCCTCCAGGATTAATCTTCCAAGAAGTCAGTGACCGATAAAACCGTTCCATACTCCAAAGGACGCCTGTGAAATTCCCTAATCAAAAATAGTCGCGATGTCAGTTCAAACACCGCTGTCGAACGATGCTGAGCACGCGTTTTATGGGCTAGCTGAACGTATGTGTCTAAATGGAATAAGTTTATACGTGCTGTTGTTTATGTCTTGCATTTCGCAAGAATTCTAAAGTCGCTAAATTTTATTTCTGTACAAGATATAAAGATCGCCGATAAATATGTCTTCATTTGTATTCAAAAGAGACATTTTAAGGACAACAACAACCAAGCTTCAAATAAATTAAATGCGTTTGTCGACAAGAAAAATATCTTAAGGGTCGGTGGGCGTCTAAATCAACCGCCTTTAAGTTACACGCAGAAGCAACCAATTGTATTACCAGCAAAGGACCCGATTGTAGCATTACTGGTAGATCATTACCACACGTTAAATTTACACGCCGGGTCCAGCCTTCTCTTAGCAATCTTGCGTCAAAATTTCTGGATTCTTGCAGTGCGTAACATGATACGTCAGCGAGTACATCGTTGCAATGTACGCTTTAAAACCAAACCAAAAAACACATTTCTTATATTGGGCGATCTTTCTTCATTTCGCGTTAGTCAAGTAAAAAGTTTCCTATTCACAGGAGTCGACTATGGTGGACCTTTCTATGTAACACCATATCGTCACCGTGTTGTAAATTGTATTAAAGCGTACTTTTGTCTATTCGTATGCTTAACGACAAAGGCGTTACATCTTGAGCTCGTATCGGATTTGAGTTCGGAGATGTTCTTAGCCGCTTTTAAGCGCTTCATTAGTCAAAGGGGTCCATTTCAATGATAGTTAACGACGGGGGTACAAATTTGTAGGTGCCAAACGAAAACTGGTCGATCTCTATAAACTGCTACATTCCACGGATCATGAGAGGTACATAGGGCAATGCCTGTCAGACATGCATATACAGTTTAAAAGAAACCCACCTCTTGCTCCTTATTTCGGAGGGATTTGGGAGAGCAACATTAAATCAGTGAAGTCACATTTGTATAGAGTAGTGGGAAAGCAAGTACTTACTTATGAAGAACTCAACACAGTCCTCGTACAAGTCGAGGGCATACTGAATAGTCGCCCGCTTTGCGTGCTTAGTTCTGACCCTTCTGAGCCTACTGCATTAACTCCCGCGCACTTTTTGAATGTCGTACCCTTGAAATATATACCTGCAGAAGATTATTGACATGTAACCAAAAATAGATTAAGCAGATAATATCAGCTGCTTGACAAAATAATCCAGTCATATTGGACTCGGTGGCGTCTTGAATACTTAACTTCGCTCTAAGGTCGACAAAAGTGGAACACTCCGTCTCGTCCAAAAGGGGTGTATTGTTATTATTCGTAAATATAATTCGCCGCCACTCAATTGGCCGCTAGGGATAGTTGAGGATTTATACCCTGGTAAAGAGGGAATCACGCGAACCGTTAAGATTAAAACGCAAACAGGCTCTTATATACGACCCGTCGTTCGCTTATGTCCTTTACCGCTTCAATAAATTTTCTGCGTACTTATATACCTATATATTTTGATTACTTTTATTAACTCTCTTTTATTTTTTAAGTTGCTTTTTAATTATTATTTTTTTTTGTAATTTCATACTTATTATATATTTTATGCTTTCTGAAGGTAACCCTTCGCCCGGGCGCGACATGTTAACGCCGTTCTCACACAAGTTTAAAAACTGAATGAATACACAAATCACATCGAAGTATCATCATATAATTACGTTCATTATTTATCATCCCTTTCCCACTCCTTATCCTAAAGAGTCGGTGAAAAGAGATAGCGCGTGCTGCCACTAGAAGATTCGATGTTAAAGACAACGACCGTTTTTTAATTCGCTTCCGGATCACATACGAGTAAAATGGGAAACCGCCTGTCATTTAACCCGCTGTGAAATATAACTAGCCCCACGTAATTGTGAGCTGTTCGAAAAATTAGATTTAGAAAACTATTGTCGAGTGAGTGGTGCAAGCAAGAGAGGAGACCAGCAGCCACACAGAATATAGCTGAGCTATCGGGTAAGTCAGCGACTATTCCCTCCTGAATGACTATAATAGCGCCTTTGCACCACCACATATTATATGTTCACCTTGTGATTTTCATTTAAACCGAATTTGACGTATTGGGGCTTTAAACGTTATTATACTGGGAAAATATGGAACACTAGCGATCCACCTCGCACAAGTGATTTTTGGATCTCGACAACAGCGCCACCTACTGGGTCCAATTGTGAATCATTTAGATCAACCGGAGATCCACTCAAACACACAAAAATTCATGAAAATTGGTACTGACGTTTTCGAGTTTTAGGAATACTATACGACATTTAGATTAGTTTTTTTTTTATTTTTAACGCTCCCGATTTGCCCTTTGTGGGTCGAATTTCATAAAATCCGTTATTGGTTATTTTTAACATACCAAAAAGAATATTCTGGCCAAGTTTTATACCTATAAGAGCTATAGTTTGAAAATGTGATTTTTTTTAAATCACGAATCTCTGGAACCATAAGGCCTAGAGACTTGCAATTTGGTAGGAATATTCCTTTTATCGATTATATTAAATCTAATAAGATCATACAGAATTAATAGAAAACAAATTACTGCAAGTAAAAGCACAGATGAAAAACGGCTTCGTTTGACGGCTCCATGGCGCAGTGGCTTAGCAATGAGTTGCTGCGCTGAGGGCCGCGGGTTCGAATCCCGCACGGAACAAGTATTTGTATGGCCTACAAATATTTGTTCCGGTTCTGAATGTTTGTCCTTGTGCAATTTGTGTTTGTAAACTGCCTCCACGATAAAGGAGAAAATCCTAGTGTGGGGGTAACGTTTAGAAAAAAAAAACAAATTATGGAAAACCTTTATTATTCCGAATCCAGAATAATTATGAGTTGTGATGTTCCCCAGGGAAGTGTTTTTGTTCCGTTCTTTTTCCTTGTTTATATTTAACCTCTCAGACCTTGACATTTTATTGGACATATTTAGTCAGAACTATGGTCAAGCCAAAGACAATTTTTTTAAAAGATGGTAAATATAACTTATAGTCATTACTATGTTCTTATCCAAAAATAAAAAATTATCAACAATTAAAATATCGAATTATTTGTATGAAGGTCAAGTGAGCGCTAGAGTAACGACGATTGCAAGACGATTTGTCGATAAATGAATGTTTCGAGAAATTATCAATTACTGTGTAGTGGCGGTGTATGAATATTCATATCACTCCGTGTGTTTCGTTAGAGGCAACTGATCCACTGTTCAGTTACACGGTACGTGTACCGGAACAGAACGTGGAAACTATGACAAGTATACCCTCTATGACGAATATAGTGGAGGCCTATGTTCAGTGGGGTTTTTTTTAAGATGTAACGGTGTTTGCTGTAATAGTGATAAAAAAATGTGGGAGGAAAAAAAGGCTAACATTTTTTCTAAATTTAATATCGGTGGTACGCGGATACTCCGTGCGATGTTTTTGGGCAGCGTTGCAAAGGTGGGTGATATTTGTAATAGTAAAATTCTGTGCTCCCCTTTATTTCCATGGCCAGCAGTGGAAGGAAACTGTAAGGAGAAGGAGGGATTAACTTTATTATTTGAAAAAAAATGTTTGTGTGTAGAAAAATCATCAAAAATTATCAAACAATTTATTAAACAAAAGTTGCGTAAACAAGTTCAGTGGTTAGAACAGTAATAAATAATAAAACCAAACAATTCTTCTAAAAAGAAAAAAAAGAAAATATTATGTCACTTCTACAACTAAGGCAAATCTAACGAATCGCCATATGTTAAAATTCAATATCTATATGTTAAAATGAAATAAATACTATGAAGAAAGAAACAAGGACATAGAAACACTCGATTTTCATATAGAAAAGAAATATATAATATAACTAGCTCGCCAGGCAGACGTTGTTCTGCCCTTTCCATTCCTATAAAAATCCTTAAATACGTAATAAAAATTTTTGAGGGTCATTTATCGGGATCAAAACTATCCTATTTCTCAAGTTGGACCAAAATGCACACAGTGTGCAACATTTCATTGAAAACAGTTCAGTAGTTTAGGAGTCCATCGCGGACAAACAACGTGAACGTAATTTTGATATATAAAGATTATATCGATATAATCAGTAGGAGTCTCAAAAAAAAATTAAATCATAGGTATATACTTTATTATGCTATCTTTGACCAACGCCATTTTTTTACCGACTTCAATCAGGAGGAGGTACTCAAGTCGACTCTATGTTTTTTTTTTATGTGTGTTGCCTCATAACTTCCTTCTGGGTGATCTGATATCGATTATTCTATTTATATTTGAAAGCTGATGCTTCACATGTGGTCCCATATAAATTTGATCGATGTCTGACTAATAATGTTATTCTTAATAATTTATATTGAAGTCGGTTGAACAAAATTTTTAATTTTTAATTATTCTTGAAAACAACTTCGGCATAATGTTCACTATATATCGAAATTATAACATAAAACGTAATTTTCGCACATTGGACTTTGTGGAATATGAAAATTTGTGTTAATTACACATGACTTATAGTGATAATTCACACCTTATATTTAATTTTGAGTTAATTTTGGCTGTTAAATATAGTGATACGTAAACGACACGGTATTTGAAATGGAAATCTTATAAAGTGGATAAAATTGTTAAGAAGCAAAATATAAGGAATTAAGTTTTAAAAAGTGTAATTACTTACCTTTTATATAAAAACTAACAATAAACTTTCTATTATTATATACTTAATTTTTTTTCACAGGATCAATCATTAAATAAATAATTTATCTTTTGCCATACATAATTGTGTTAACATAATTATTAATTTCATTACATTCTATTTAATAATTTTTTAAATAATTTTGAAAATATTAATGAAATAAAAACAATGAAATGTGTCGCTATTTATTTGTGTGTGAAATATTGCATGATCATTATTTAAAAATGTACATAATAAAGCATAGTCATTCAACAATATACTTATGTCATAATTAGATTTCCAACATGTTTAACTCTTTTACTCAAATTATATATCCACTAATTTTTTGTGAATGTTTGATGAAAAAATTAATAGAAATGCGGTCATTAAGGAGTATGTTAGGGATGAAGCTGAATGAGAGAGTGAGAAATTTTTTAATAAGAGAAGAGTGTGGTTTGCAAGATGATGTTGTGAACAGGATTAAGAAAGGAATGCTTCGGTGGTTTGGCCATGTAGAAAGAATGAATGAGGAAAGAGTGACAAAGCAAATTTATGTTGCAGAGGTAAACGGCATAGTCAGGAAGGGTCGCCCTAGGCGAAAGTTTATCGACCAAATTGGCGATATATTAAAAATGGGCCATATCAAGAGTACCTTTAACCGACGAGCGTGTATGCGTAGGTATATGGATGTGGAGGAAGCGAGAGAGGTGTGTCAGGATCGTGCCAAATGGAAGTCCATAATCTCTGCCTACCCCTCTGGATGACAGACGTGAGTGTTTATGTATGTATGTAATTTTTTGTTTACGTTGCATTCACATTTCATACAGTTATTTTTTAGGTACTTAAATTTATTTCCAAAAATATTGTACTTCGTTTGTCCTCAGGGTAGGACATAGTTGAACTTGATTATATAATTATATAGTATTACTGTATTATAGTATTTTTATAGATGTTAGATATATATCTAACATCTATGTAATAATTTTGATCCACGAAATAAATGATTTAGATTTGATTTGATTTGAACTTACGTTGTAAGTGACGCTAAAATCATGCCCAACATAATATAAGGACACACACTCACGCACTAGTTATATGCTTCTAAAACCATGCTTTTGATAGCCAATTAATTCACCTGTTTATATTTTTATTGGTCTGAGTTTCTACTATTTATGAGATGACAAATTAATAAGTGAAGATCCTAAAAATGAGCGAAGTATTTTATAATTGTTGGTAAGTACTTTGACAGAGTGTAGGCGAAGTGTAGGGCGACCCCCCACGAGATGAAGTGACGACCTGGTAAGGCATGCAAGAAGTCGATGGATGCAGGTGGCTCAGGACCGTGCTTTGTGGCATTCCTTGGGGGAGGCCTATGTTCAGCAGTGGACTTATGAAAGGCTGTAATGATGATGATGATGATGACTGTGACGGAAAAACTTAAGTCCGGAATACTGTGCAAAAATACAGAAGAGATTAGTTAGGTTTTAAAAAAATTAACGAAATTAATTAATAAATGAATTACTTATTAAAAATTAATTAAAGAATAATTGGATAACTTATTACTCATAAACGACACAGCATATAAAGAAATTAAAACAGTAAACAAAGCAGAAAACCTAACAATCTGGTTGCAACTACGAAAAGGAATTTGACTCAGCATGATACTGTTACAGTGTTCCCTGTCATGCTGTTGATACCTTATATTTACCATGCCGTATGTGTGTCAACGTATAATATTATAATTAATGTCATATTATTAGTTATTAAATAAATTATTGAAATTTTGTCATAG